CCGTGCGAAGAGCATGGAAATCGGAAGGGGTTATCACAATAGGGGGAATCTTTTCCTTCTTGCCAATTAATGCTGTGATTCTAGTCGGGTCGTTACTCAGTGAGTCCCTAATGCTACCCGGTATGCCATACAACTCTCGTGAGCCTTCGTATTGAGTACAGGGGCAGATTATCTGTTCCACTGAACAGTTGGTGCGGCAGAGCTCGTAAATTTTCCGGAACGGACCGCTCCCTGAAAAGTTATGCGAAAATCTTGTATGGCCTATTCTGAGTCTTGCCAGGACAACCTGAGTTCGGTGGTCAGGGAGGTCTTCCCATCTTCGTGTGTCAGCCTTCACCTTTCTAAGGAAAATGTATGTATGTGACCATGGGGTTTTTACGCCTTTTCTAGGCTCTTCCCCATCAGGCTCCAGGGGGGTGTTCATGTCTTTGGGTACAAAAGTGTCCCCGTTGACTTCGTACCACTCCAGGACAACATTTCAATAGTGGTACGAAGCTAGATCCGGGCCCTCGTGTTGTTTCAACAGAGGAATCAGACGCTTCTGTAGACACTCCTTGAGGTAGATCTCCCCGTTTACAGTCCCGGTAGTCACGAACGGCCACATGAGCAGAACGCTTCCCAAATCAAGTATTTCTTGGCAAACTTTGAAAGTTCCTACTTCCTTACTTCCTCCGGAACATCAAACTTGTGCTGGGCGGTGAAGAACAGTAGCCCCGGAGGCTGCCGGGAGTCCGCCTTGGCGTAAGTCTCATCATCCATGATGAGACAATGAGGCTTCGTCAGCATCTGGGTGTACAGTTTCCGGGCCCGTGACTTTCCCACCGTATTTGAAGCCTTTTGCACTTTGTTCGTATGCAGTCCCTCCCGGTCCTTGGCTCTCTGAACAAAAGACTTGGACAAATTCAACTTTTTGGCCACATCCCTGACCGAAGCATTGGGATTCCGCTTAAACGCTTTCACGACACGCTTGTGATCCTGATCACTAATAAAACATCCATTCTGACCGCACGACTCATCGTTGACTACACGATTCCGAGTTGTTTTCCGAAGTCCCGGTGAGAGAGATGAGGATTTTCAAGGTGCTTGTGCAAAATCAATTCACGACGTTACTTTTCGGTTGACGCCATTTTTTCCAACTTTCGAAAAACTGACAGCGATAAAAATACAGTGTAAACAATACACTCTAAACTACTTCTACCCAAATTTTCAAGAGAAAATAGCCAATTGGTAATTTTCTACAGCGTTTTTTTCCGTGATGCAATTAGATGTGGGACACGCTTTATCAAGGTTGGAAATGTATGATTTTGACTATGATTTGGTTACTAATCGTAAAATTTCGAGCTGAAACTGATCGTTGAACTTTGTGATTTCTTCAAAAAGATTTGTAATAGTAATATAATAACAAATTTAGGGCTGTGATATAACCGTGGACCCAATAGATGGTCCTTCGGAAGATCCATAAAATCATCTTTGATCTAGCTCAAGATCCGTGTTTTATTTAAGGAATCACAAATTGTTGAGATACATAAATTAATTTGGATCTTGACCGAAATTTAGAACTAGAAGGCTATTAGACTGTCGTTCGAACCATCCGTAAATGACGCCAATTCCTAAAACTTATACTAGTGCTCAGCAATTTATTTTCATATAACTTGATATGATAATTTATGACTACATTTGAATCTTGGACCGGAATGTGGACCCTAGAAGCCACTAGATTGCCCTTCGGATGATCCGGAACACCCGTTAAAATGTGAATTGATGAAGCGAATTCAAGAGCATAGTGATTTCTTTTAAAATCCCGTCTAGTTGTTAAACATTAATTCAAATCTATAACCAGAATTTGGAACCTTGGGACCACGAAGATCCGGAAGATCTGGAATATTCAAGATAAATGGTCATTAAAATTCTGAAGCTCAGTGACTAAATAACTAATAGTAAGTCCCGTAACGTGGGTAGATCACCTTTTCGTGGTACGTTACGGGATGCAAGATCTACCACCGATTCCTAGTCCTAACTACTTCAAACTAGGGGAACAGGATTTTTCAGTAATCCAAGGAATACATCTTAGTCCTTGTTACTTTTTATGCCTTGTTGATAGTGACAAGACTCGGCTTTGTCCACCGAGGATGACTGACAAAGGGGCGCGCCTTTGGAGGGTGTTTCAACACTCCGAAGGGTATAAATAGCGGGACCTTTCAATTAGAGTCGGATCCTTGCGATAAATGCAAGAGTGGCAACTGTAAAAAAAATCGAATACTTCATCATTTCTCAATAGTGATGGAGTAATACGACATGCACTAAACTAACGACACGGGATATACTACAATAGATCAATTTACTGGTCGCAGTAGTGTTAGGTCCCGAACAGAGAAAAAAAAAGTAAGTTGGCAAATGTTGGGGTTTCGTGAGCATTCCTGACATTGCTGAAAATTATGATAGCATCAGATTGCGGGGTTGCTAGTGTAATAGGATGCTTTGTTGATTGTTCATCAACTCTTGATTGCTTGTAATACTTATGAATATTTTAGGTGGACTAAATGGCGAACTAAGAGGTGGACGCCTGAGCTTTTCCACATTTATATCATAGCGTAGCGTACGTACAAGTGATTTAAAAGAAATCACGTTGCACAAGAATCCGTTTCAATACTTTACTCACTTTTTCGGATGTTCCGGTTCATCCGGGAGAACTTCCTGTGACCCAGAGTTGATAGTTCAGCTCCTAATCAAAATCACTAATCACTCTCATATCATGAATGCAAGTGATATTAAAAGAAATCGAATGATCCGTGTCTTCCGGAAGACCATCATGTGGTCCCCGAATCCACTAGTCCACTGTCCAGTTCCAGATCAAAATTCATTCAAACGACATCAATTAAATTCATTTCAAAAGAAATCAAGGAACTCTTGGATCAGAGCCCCCCACTGAGGCAAATAAATTTAAGTATTTAATAAGGCTCGACTTATGAACGAAACCAAGGTTGCAAATACTCATTTCAGCTAAAATAATGTTGTTCAGAATAATAAAACCAAAAGATGGTATGATGGCATGTTTTACTTGTAACTTACAAGAAGAGGTTACAAAGTATGCGTTTGAAACATAAAACCTGCAAATTTTGCTTTCTATGAGTCACAATCAGCGGTTTGCTGATCGCTGAGTGAGTGAGTGAGTGAGTGTGTGAAAAATCGCTGATTGTGACTCTCATGAAGTGAAATAAACAGGTTTAATATCAGAGTTGGTTGGAAATGCTAACATGAAGCTTTAGTATGATAATTTATTAGCTAGTGAATGATCTTTAGAAGAGGGTAGGTGGATAGTTCCGTTAGAGTACGGTAGTATGAAAATTGAATAGAAGTTGAAAATGAGCGAAGGGCCATTAATGCGACAGTTTTTAAAGATAGACGCACATCTTTTGCCTAACCCGTACGATGTACGCGGAGACTTGAAGTATGTCTCCAAGTCTACAGGCAAAAAAAAACACTTTGAATGTAACAACTCAAGGCGGGAGTAACCGTCAACAATGCTGAGGATGGTACAGCACGCAACAACCACCCTACTGTCTTCTCTCTGAGATGACCAAGTTGGTCATGACGAGAGGAGCAACACAATAGTTGGGTAAAGAAGAATTGCATTATAACACACCATCGACTGGAAATGCTCTCGCAACGTGGGGCTTTAGGTAGTGATGAAAACGTCGCTAGAACTATTCCACAGCCGCAGTCAGTTTATGAGCAAAAGAGGGGCGCACATTTCATAGATCTTCAAATAAATTTGAAGACCTTCAAGAAAGTGCGCATATTTACTGCTACATTTTTAGAATCTCAGAAATTTTAATGGATCTTCAGTAAAATTTTCAGAACTTCAGGGAAGTTCGGCGATTTATTTAAAAGCATTTATAAGATTTCAGGGAAATTTGTAGATCTTGAGAGAGACATTTAAAACTTCAAGGAAGCTCAAATATTTTCAGATAAATTTTGAGAACTTAAGGTAATTTAGAAGATCTTCCGGGACAATTTAAAATCTTCAGGTTAGCCCGAGAGCCTACAGAAGAATTTTCAAAACTTCAGAGAAGTTTGCAGATCTACCGAGAAATTGATTGAGCCTCAAGGTTTTTTTTTCGTAGATCTTAAGAATAGAACTACGGAGCTTCAGACAACTTTACAGAACTTTAAAGATACTTGTAGGAATTTCCAAAAAGTTGCACAGTTTCAGAAAAATGTGAGATGTTCAGAAAAATTCGTTAAATGTCAAAAAAGTACCTCAATTCCAAAAACAAATCGCAGCGAAGTACAAAAGCACAAGATTTGCAGAACCCCATGGAAGCTTGAAATAGATAGATCTGAAGAACTTCAGAGAAGTCCGTAGACCTTAAGAGAAGTCTGTAGAACGTCAGAAAGTTCATACGTTTTTAGAAAAATTTGCAAAACTTTTGCAAAACTCACTACACAAGTTCAGAGAAATTCGTAAATCTTCAGATAAATTTTTAAAACTTCAGCGAACACACACGATTCATAGCGAACACATAGAAATTCAATGAAATCTGTAGAACAACCAAGAAATTTGCAGATCTTCAAGAAAGTTTGTTGATCTTTAAAGGTATTTTACCAGAGAACAGAAACAAAACTTCAGGGACGTCCGAAGGTCTTCAAAAAAATATGCAGAATTGAGTTCTTAACAGAAATTTTCAGAACTCATGTAAATTTTTATGGCCACAAGAATAAACAAATGCAGTACAGTGATGTGCATTGCTCATCTGCATCATGATTGCAACTGATAACGATCAAGATGAAGGAAATCACATGTTTGTTTGCATGATATGCCAGTTAGTAGGTCACCACCATCGCCACGACCGTAGGTAGATAGGAAACGCATAAGCGGGATGGGCAGCTCTATAATATTCCACAAAGATCAGTAGTGGACGCAAATTTAAAACATTCCACAAACACATATTGGCAGTGTGCTAATCACATAACAAACATTCGTTCCGATACACCAACAGGGAATAGACACACAAAAGCGTGCACTGATTGAATTGTCCTCGCTCCGTCTGCGAAGCACCACCAGAGCCATAAGTCAGCAGTTTGATAGGCGAAACGGAACAACAATCATACATACAATAGTGAATGGATATAGCGAAGCTTCATCAGGTGAACGAGAAGAGCAACTATGATAATAAAGCATACCAATTCATTGGAGGCTTAAACGTAAACAACCAAATGCTTCTGCGCCGCCAGTGAATTAGTTACAATCGTAAGCCAGAGGGGGTAAACAAGTCGCATTAAGTGTGAAAAGTGTGTAAACTATACAAGATAAATCCTCGAACTAGTGTACATGTCCACTCGATTGTAGTTCAATTGATTGAACGATCATATGATTCCTGCGTTCTTGTCGTTCAATAAAATGTATGGTGTGGTGAAATTGAAACGAAATCATTGAACGGCCGTTCATCAAATTTAGCTACTCGAAAAAATCAGCGATATAAGTGCAAAAGGCCAGTTTCCAATGAATATACAAATAAATACTAGTGTCCGTGATTGAAGTGCAGAAACACGAGTTTTGGCCGTCGTTGTCGTCTTGGATAAAGGTAAATTTGAATATATAAATAAATAAACAAGCGGATGCAAGTATGTATGCGGAATGATAAGAGATAATCTCTTGGGCGATGCAGAGGAGTAGGTGTGGTTTGGCTAAGTCATTGTCGGTGAGATTGTTGCGAAATTCACACCTATGAAGTTGGAATGTACCTATGTAAGATCGGGATAACTTACGTCAAAGAGAACGGAATTATCGTAGCATCGATTCAGATTTTCCCACACTATTTTATCTCTACATTCGAAGACAGCGAAGGATTCGATCCCAGGTATAAGAGAATGCATTAAAGTACTTCATTGCTTATTGCATATAAGCTCATTGCGTGCTCTAGATGCGCTTCCAGTTGCAGTTATTAATTGAGAGGTTTCGATGTCTGTGCCATTTTTACACTAGTATTTATTACGTGGCTAGTACAATCATACTTTAATGCCTAGGAAAATCGAGACATTTTCCAACCCGAAAAATTCCTAGACCGGACCGGGAATCGAACCCAGCCACCTCCAACATGGTCTTGCTTTGTAGCTGCGTCTATACCGACTGAGCTAAGGGAGGTATTAAATTACATCATGCAAAAACCAGGAAAAATCAACCCACCCCTCATTTTCCGTTTTGTCGCGTTTTTCCAATTGCCTTATAAATTGTTTGTCACACATTTCTACACGGTAAGAAAAAAATACTCAAAATTAAGTTAAAAAAAAACTCAACGTTGGGTTCTATCATTTGAGGTCCGCTGTTGAGTGAATCAGAAAAGCGGCGTTGGTTAAAATTTACTCAACTATTGAGTAATAATAAATGACCTCAAATATAAGTTTATTTTCATATTGGTTGCTCTTATGCGCTTTTAACCATTTCATTTTCACAAGCGTTGATAGACGAGTGGTCAACACACGGGCCCCGTAATCTCAACGTCCATGGTTCGGTTCCAGTCTGCTCCGTCTTATTATTTTTTGTCAACTTGGTCAACGATCAGGATTACTCAAAATTGAGTTTTCTTCTTTAACTTAATTTTACCTAGTCCCACGGAAGCCACGTGATGAGTGAAAGGAACTCAATTTTGGGTACTTTTTCTTACCGTGTAAACCCCTGAATGCGTGACGTACTTAACGGTTCGGCCCCTTATTGCAATTTTAGAGCAACACGTGAAAAGGACCTACAAACAATCTGTCAAACAACGTATAAACCAATGGAAATGGCGATCTTTAATTTCTCAATCCCAAAATTATGTATTGTCTCAAATAAAGATGTTGTGCTAAATTTGGGTTCAATCGGGCACTATGTACACAGCAAAAAAATAAATTTTAGTGTTACATTCAAGAGGATGCACTTCAATCATGTCGAAAATCTCATGTAATTTTTATGGCCACAAAAATAAACAAATGCAGTAAAAGCAGCGTAATGTCAGTTTATGCACTGTATTAATGATAATTTTATCCTTTTTGGCAAGTAATATTACACCATATTTTCGACATGATTGAAGTGCATCCACTTTGATGTGATATTAAAATTAATTTGTTGCTGTGTAGATGTTCCGCCATATCTTCAAAGTTTGAATTTTTGACGTTGGACTACGTCTTTGTGGACTATACTGGAGTGCACATCAAAAATTTGTGTGACGAAATAGTGTCAGGTTTTTAACGTTCATAATTTGGTCATTTGATTTAGATTTGATGTAAGATTTGTTTGACATAAAGATTGTAGTAATTTATCATTAGTAAAGTATTGAAAATTGTTAAAACTTTTTGGCCACAATCAACCAATCACGTGCTTGCTTTCTACTCTGAGACAAATAAACTTAAGAATTTCATAAGGCTCGACTTATGAACGAGCCATATGAATTTCAGCGTGACTAATGCATGATTTTTAGCTAATAAAAAAAAATACCATAAACGAATGATAATCAAAATGATTAACCTATTCCGCAAATGGTTAGGATGATACCCCGAACACGTCGTTAAGCAAATTAACCATAACATTTTTATTAGGGGAGGTAGCTCGTATACGCATTTTTACCATTTAATTATATATCGTAATATCAACGTCCATGGTTCGATTCCAGTCTGCTCCGATTTTTTAATTTTTTTGTCAACATTATTTTTCATAAGGCAAATTAATGAAATTCATATCGATTTCTTGTGGCTTAAATTCATAAGTGGTTCTTAGAGGCCTTTTTAATGGGAACTAAACGATCGATTCAACCTGTGGTGGTGAATAGGAGAACGTCAAAAAGAGTGTTGTGAGCAGAAATTTTTGCCTTGAGACATAGGAAGCGGAACACTTTTTTACTTTTTCTGGTAAATTGATTCATCTGAGATGCTCGAGAACTTAATAAACAGTTAAAAAATTTAATTCTGTAACGTTTTTGCAAAGATCCTGTTGGTGTTCAGGAATATTTTTGTTGAGAAAAATGGAAAATTAGAAAAGTGCCTTAGTGGTTATGCTCTTCCGGATTTCTTGTGTGTGAATAGTTAAGGTACAAATCAGTTCAGATCTGTGGAAAATCGTACAATAAGACAATTACCGATAGAAATTGGCAAGATGTTGAATGAAAAATGCTTTAATTTGCGTTGTGAAAAATAGTTATTCTGATGTAAACAAATGTTTCTTCTCGAACTCGCGTGGCGCACTCTACGTTGGTGGTGCATTAAAAAGGCGTATGGAATTTTTATGTGTTTTGCCTCAGTGTATGACTATCGAGAGTAAAGAGAGAGACGAGTGAAATAGTGTTAGGTTTTGAACGCTTGTAACTTTGTCATTTATAGATGAAAATAAAATCCAAATACGCCAATCGATAGGATATTACATTACAAATCTGCTGAATTAATTTTTTTTTCATTTTCCACAAAAAACATTTGAAACGATTTTCTCTAACCCAGTCGTCATAATCGAGTACTATTTGGTTGTACATCGTTCTGCTTCAACCTGAAAAGATATAAAACAGCGCTGCTGTCATGCCTCTGCTCATTACCGCTTCGGACGGCGTGTCACTTGGTCCTACAGCAGGCAGGAGTAAGTCAGCAGATTAAGGTGGATCATGGCGTGACCACCTATCACAATCAGGAAATGAGGAACTTGGAAAAGTAACACATGCAAAACATATGTCATTTGTTTTTAAATTATTTGCTTAATTTGACATCTTGACTAGATAGAATGTTTCTGTCTTTTTGAAAAGTTATTAAAGTGATAGAGACTTATTGGATGATGTATATACATCACACTAGTATAGACTACAATTTAGGTGGACTACAGCCCAACTAAAACGCAGCCCACTTAAAGATAGCCAAACGAGCAAAATTCGACTGTTTATATACCTTGCGATTTTTTTTTCAGATGGCGAAAAAAATCAAAATGATAAAACTTTTTTTTTTGTACTAAACGGATTTCAGTGAAAATTGAAGCAAATGAAAGAACTATGTCTTTACTAATAATGAGACAAATTACAGCATAAGGTACACCGGGGCAAATTGGAAAATTCATAAAGTAACATAGACAGGATGTTTTTGCTCTAAAAGTTTCGTAAAAGCGTCTTCATCATGAAAAAATTATAAACCATAGTCTTGATCCGAAAAACTTACTTTTTTACGAGGATACAAATATGGTGTGTGTTGTTTTATCTTGCCCCATACAGTGGGGTCATTAGATTAACGATGAAAATTATCATCTATTTTCTCCTAAAACATGTAGATTAAGGTGCTTCATTAAAATATATATATATATATATATATATATATATATATATGAATTTCTGATAGGCCACCCTTCAGTTCGATTCATAACCCCAAAATATGAGCCTGTGCAAAAAGTGGTAAATATTGATAAAGGTTTAATGATCGCGCAAATGATTTGAAGTTTATAGTATGGGAAATTATTGATGTTCACTTAAATTCAGCCCAGTGGCAGGCGCGTATGCAACATGTCATACCATGACATCCCAGCACAGCAAAATAAACGATTTGAGCCCGGGACATGCTGCCTACTGTCAAACGCTGCTGTTAGTATAGGCCTTGTCATTGACCTGATTAAATTGCTCTAACTTTGGTTATATTATGGGCGACGCATTCGACTGTCAAAATACAAGAAAATCAGGCGCTGGCTCGCGTTTGACAGAAAATTGGTTCATAATATAGTCCCCCTATTGTCTCCTCTTCCTCTTAGATCCTGATGTTTCGTTATCTTGAAAAACTAAATCCATGCCAACTGCAACCGATTGACATGGACTCCGATATCGATCAGGTAAAATTACATCAATTTTAAGATTTATCCTAAACTAATTCAACCAATAATTGAAGAAGACTTCTGTTTAATATTGACCAATGCACGGAATGAACTCACGAAAAAAATTTACTTTTGAGCGGTGCCGTGTTTACTAAAAATGAACACATGAGGTAATGCTCGCGTATTTTTAGAAAAGGTCCTATCAACTTTTATAAACAACTTGTTAGGCCCTTTTCTCACGAGCCGAAGAACACCCACGCAAACCAAACCACTATCGGAAAGAGGAGAATTCACCCTACCCGACGGTGTTGTTGGTTTGCATGGGCGTACTTCGGTTCACGCGAAAAATGTCTCACAAGTTTTGTGTACATAAGTTGATAGGCCATTTTTAAATGTTACGCGAGTATTATTTATGTGTTCATTTTTAGTACACACGGCACCCCTCAAACGTTAAATTTGTTCATGCTGTTCATTCCGTGCATTGGTCAATGGATATATCTGAAGGGTTGGTGTAGATGTACCCATCATCATCCCTCTCCAACTGGAGAGTTTGGTAAAGAGAGATGATCAACCCGATTCGTACCTTCATCAAAGTTGTCCTTGCTCGCTTTCTACTCTCTACAATTTCCACACTGCCGTACTTAAACGGAACTATAAACTCTATACTTTCATCTCCTCATCTATCGCATAAAAATGACCGCTTTAGTCTGTTATTAGAAATTAGCATCTTCAACTATGTAAATCGTTAACTTCACGCAGAAGTAATAAAAACAAAATAGT